TATGCAATTTTGTCGAAATTTTAAAATGGAAAAATATATTAATTTTTTTTATTTTTGGTCCCACGAAACCATTTTTCAAAATTGCCTTGCGAGTTTAATAATATAACTTCAAAGTGAAGAAAAAATTCGGAAAATATAGAAACTTTTTAATAGCAAACTTCATTGACAAATTCGAAAACGATTTAAACTTTAATTTTAAAATTGTATGCTTAAATTATCGTATAAAAAATGTTAATAACATATCAATATTGACAAGTTTTTTCTTTTTTTTTTATTTTTTGCGCTAAAATTTTAAATAAAAATACTCCACGCATAATGAAAACCACAAAAATACAACTATTTGTGGGTGTCAGACAATTCGCTTGAGATTCCCTGTCATAAAACTTCACATCCATCGCTGTTTACCTCTTTTTTCGCATGATCTTTCGTGTCACTTTTCTTGCCTCATTATTTCTCTCGCTCTTCTCTTTCTCTCTATTTGTCTCTCCTTCTTCTTATCTGTCTGGCTTCGTCTCTATCTATTTCCTGATTTCTTTGCTTGCTCCCTCTCTCTCTATCTCTCTATCTTTCTCTCACACACGTTCTGTGTCTCTCACTCATTCTCTCTATGATTCTCTTTATCTTTCTGTCTGTCCCCTTATTTCTCTCTCTATCTTTCTCTTTCACGCACACACACTTTTTTCTCCCACACTCTCTTTCTCTCTCTCTCTCATATTTACACTACTGTCAACAGTCGTGTGTAAGGAGAGAGAGGTATATTCCATTTCTTTGAGGAAAACCAAAAAGTCTAAAACATATTGTAATATTTTTAAAACTATTAAAGACCAAATGTATCCTTCTTTTCTTGATACCTTCGTAAACTTAATTTTTGATGATTATTTTAATAAGAAAGTGGAAATCTCTAAGTTGACTGCTTTTATATCTATCCATTTACCTTATTCCAAATTAAAATTGACAATGAAAGAAATTCCTTGCAGGAAAATATTCTGAACCTATAATGGAAGCTTAATAGATCTCCCAATTAATTTTTATTATATGTTAGATAGAGTTGAAGTTACTAGCTGATTATTTATAAGAGTGTCTCGACCTGCGGTACCGTTCCAAAAGTATTGAATTGCTTTAGGTGACATAATGTTATCTCTGCTTAGGAATTGAGATATATAGTCATATACTTATATAATTATCAAGTTTTACACTGCATACTGGCACTGGTTCACATATAAACTATAATTGATGACGCATTTATTAGTCTCTATTTTAAGTGAAAATATTAGGCACATCAATAGAAAATTTCAAAAATTTACTCAGCCTTCGCGATTAATATTTATTTTAAAATAAATTATAATTATTTCGACTTAAAGACTTTGTCTAAAATATTGCAATTATTTACAAAATAACAAAATTGTCAAAATCTAGAAATTATGTATTTGATGCATGCATTTCACTGCATCTTAAGTGCATGTAAGTGGACGACACGCACACATCCTCGATTCGAAATGCCAGAATTGATGCAATTGCGGCCACAGATTTTCTGTAAGTAATTAAGCACGAAAATTATTTTCACTAATTGTACTTTTGAATGATGTCATTTGGGTTGGTTGGTTGGTTGCTTGGTTAAAAATACTACAAATTTAAGTGAAAACATTTTGAAAAATTATTAAAATGAATTCAAAAGAAAAATAATGTTTCAACCTAAATGTCTCTGTTGCCTGTTGAAAGAAAGGCGAGTGATTAGTGCGACATTAAAAAAAAGTAGTAATTGTTGGCAGCTGACAGTGCGGTCGATTACTGCAGGACTCATATCTAAAGTGTCGGAAATGAAATGACAGCAAAATATTAATTAAAATAGCAGATAATTAAAGCTGTTGAAAAATGGAAAGAATTACGTGTTACTTTATTTTTGAATTTATCATATTTTATAATTTATATATCAATAACAATTAAAATTAACCTTAAGAATGTACTCTACTCCCTTGTGAATAATGTTTAAATTAAATTTGACAAGATGTTTGTAACACGAAGAGGTATCAAAAGCCTTATTAACTGCTTCATACTAAGCGTATGAGAAAACTTGTTCATACACAAAAAAATTCTACTCAGTTCTATAATCTCTATGTAAGAAACTGACCTCATTTCTCACGTCTCATCTTGATAACTTTACAAATCCAACCTGTGCCGTTAAACAATTCCGTTTTCTCCTCTATAATAGAGTATAGTAATCCTCGTATACACTTATTGGTTAATTAAGTAAAAGTTAGTCGTCTGCAAATTTAATTGCTTATCAACACATTCGTTTTTCCAGTTTCGGTATTATATAGCACGAACCTTTGTTCCAGAAACTTTTTATGCATCCCTGTAAATTTAGTTTGAACACATGCAATAGCTTAACTTTGTCATATATCACAATATTTTACCAAAAAATAGTATATACTGTGAAATTTCTCTTAAACTTTTCTCTCTTCATCATACAATATTCTAGTCTCCAGTTTTCATTTTTTATACAAAATACATTTTTTAATATCGCCGGTCAACAGAAATTGAAAGGATCTCTCTGGACTGAGTACAATAATTAGTAGCTTTTGGCCAAAATGGGAATCCCACAATAATTACTATCACAATAGCAAATAGACAGCAGAAGTAGAAACTTCCGCAGTTCAACTGCTCTTCCATATTTTTCGAAAGCTAGCAGGAATTGAGATTAGAGAATTTCATAAATTAATATTAAGGATATTGCAGAGTCGTTACTTTAACCAACCAACTAACTAATGTTTTTTTAGAAGGATTGTTGTCTTCATCCAACAATATTGCTGGCGTTTGTTTAAGAGAGCTTTCACTGTATGATATTAATTCTCAGTTACTCAGCTTATTACGGACTAAATTTGCATATAGTATAAAAATAATACTAAAAGAGTTGAGTATACTGAAAGAGTTGAGTACTACAACAATAAGGTTATCTTATTACATTGTTATATATTAACGTGACAATATCTGAACAACATTGCAGTATCCTTTATATTAAAAACGTGTATCTCAATTCAAAGGTAAAACAGAAATTCAACGAAAAATAAATTTCAATTGAGCGTAAAATCTAAATTTAGTTAAATTTTAAAAATAAAAACTGTATATACTTTGCATTTCATGTGACAAACACAGAGCAAATGATATAGTTTGTTCATAATTTTGCACGTTTACCGAACATTAAACGGAACAAATTAACAGAACGCGCAATTTATGCTTTGAGATACAAAATTACGAATTCATTTCAAAATTAAAAATTTCTATTAAAAATTGACTGAAAATAGATTTCA